CAGAGGAAGGAAAGTGGGGCGCAGAAGCCAGCAAGGAAGCCAGCAGAGCAACATGGCTCTGCATGATGAACCTTGGAGACTGGAGGCAGTAAAAGACTGGTGAGTCCTTGTGATGCCCAGCTCCAAGAGGTTCAGGACAGTCCTATTGCTAGGGCTGCACACGCAGCGTCAACTTGATAAGTGATGAGGGAGCAGACCTGTGGACCTGAGGCTATATGACCACTCAGCCTGGTGCTCCTCTCCCTTTCTTGCCCACAAGCCAAAGAGGTGTCCCAAAAGCGAGATCAAAGCCTGATGCAAAAAAGGTTTTGTGTCTCTTTGAACACCACGAGGGTGGGAAGCCCGCTGTCCCCAGGAATGGCTGCTCCCCCTTGCATGGCTGTACTCCAAGGCTGCCAGGAAGACGGGAGCCATCCACTTCGGTTTGACTGCAGAAAGCACCAGATGAGCTGCTGCTTCCTGAAAGTTTACAACACTCACCTACAAAAGCAAACAAGAACGGCTGAGGGAGGAGAGCCATGGCTCTGGGTGCATGTAACCACCCAACAAATGCTTTTCCCAAATCCGTATCTTGCAAATGGGCTTGGATCCAGGGATGGACCTTGCTGCAGAGCTGCTGCAGGTGGTGCCCACCTCTCACAGGAGCCAGGGCAAGGGGGCAGAGCTCCAGTTGCCCCCGTGACGGTGTGCTAGGGGCCCAGGACCCACAGGAAGAAGCACAGGCCAGGTGTGCGCACACACTGCCAGAGCACTCTGCGCCCACACCAACCTGCTGCCCTGGTCACAGAAAAAGCCTTTTAGGAGCTGCTGGCAGGACACCGCTCAGTGAAACCCAGGAGCCGGAGGTGCTGCAGGCTGGGGACCTTGCTGGGCACGATGGCAAGCTTCACCGCGTGCAGATGCAGCATGTGACATGCCACTGCAAGAACCTTCTCACATCAACCCCAGCTGTACATCTGCCAAGGAAGTGTTCAGGACAAGCCTGTCCAGAAAGCGTCAGCACCTACAGAGCTGGGAAGTTCCATCTTTTCAGAGAAACATTGCTAATAGCACTGTGACGGGCGTGGGCTGTAACGCTTAGCCGCCTGGGTGTGATGGAGCAGCAAATTGAGACCTACTTGCTATCTGAGAGGTGACCCGTTCCTCAAAGCTGGTGGGCAGCACATACCAGTAACACTTTCCTGAAGGTCTGTATGACCTAGGATCAAATAGTCCCATCCCAAACTACCTGGGAACAGAACTTCATTTCCTTGGTCACCTCCCTGATTTTCTTGAAGACTGTAACGCTTATCACTCGGTTTGTAAAGTTGCCTCATTCAACCCATCATCTGCTCACCTGATGATGACAGCAGAGTGGAGACCAGGTTAGATGAGGAAGGGTTAACCTCCTAGTGCCCGCCTTGGGATTCCTGAAGGCCCTATTATCCCGAATTATTTTTCTTAATTACTGCCACACACGTAGACTACATCAAGAGTGAATCTTCACTTTGATAATTTGTGCTGTGAAATCTCACTTTGGGATCTACTTTTATCTCACACCAAACACCTGCAGGTCGTAAAAGGCAAAAAGGAAAAGAAAACGCCTCAAATCCCAGCCAGGTTTTCAAGTGTCAGAGAAAACTAAATTAATGCTAAATTCTAACCGACACGGTAAAGAGCCTCCCACCCTCTTCTTAAATTAGCTAAACAAAAGGACTGAGACGTTAACATATAATTAAGGCACAAGGAGGTAAAGCTGTAGCTGTTAAGTATGGGGATGCAGGCTTTTCAGAAGTTAAGATGTATCCTAAAAACAGAAAGGGAGGCAGCTTTGTGTTTAAGCAAAAGGACGAGGAGTCAAAGTCCCTGCGGACCTATCTCGGCTTTGCCACAGCCTTCTGGTAAAATGCAAAGCCAGGTAATTACGCTCCTATCTGCTTCTGTTTCCACACACCCAAAATGGATGCCTCGCTCCTTTGCCGCACACAGAGACAAGAACTCTCTTTAATTAACCTTTGTAAAGCCTCTGCGATCCTTGGATGAAAAAGGCTTCGTACCTTAGGAACATGTTGGCACACATATGCAAGGCAAAACGCCTAGCACAAAGCCAGAGCCGAACTGCAGTGCGTTTCTTCTTTCTGCAGCTTGTCAAAGGCCTTGAAGCTCATCCTTACCCATACTTCCCATTCCAATCTGGTCCTTTAGAGGAGGGATTTTGTTACGAAACTTGGGGAATGTCTGGATTATAACCTCTCTCCTGTCAAATTAGCTAGGAAATGGTAATTTTCCTCAGGGGACACCGGTGCCCATGAAGGACGCATTTAAAATTTGTCACTTCAGTTAATGAAATATCATCCCAGCCAGTTGCTGTAAGCACCTCTGGATGTCAAACTGCCAGGGGCAGATAAATGTCCCGTTGAATCCTGCTAGATTCTAATAAACAGCTTTTAGGTAGGAACTTGTGTCCAATTTATAAACGTTAAAGAACAGCTTGTGTTTCAATCCCATCCAGGTGCTTTACAATCCTGGCACAACCCCTGACCACAAGGCTATGCATTTCACATTAGCTCGCTCGACTCATCTCACAGACGTAGGTATAGTCACCCACAGATCATCCAAATGTGGGGAGGGACCTCTTCTCTGGGATTAGAAACGGCAGAGCAACAAGCGAAAGAATCATCAAAATAAGGCAGAGAGTACCCACTGCTTGTGCCCCGCTTCCCCTCCACATTCCCCCATCCCTCCAGCCCTCTCACATACTTGCTCCTGGGCAGGATTTCAAAGTAATGGGCCAAACTCAGCCCTGATGGAAATGGGTGCCAAACTCCTCAACTGCATTACAGAAGAGAAGAGGCGCAGCTCAAACATTTCTGTGCTATGGGGCAGCATCATGAGAGAGAGAGAGTGAGAGAGAGGAGAGGAAGGCTGGCGAAGCCACCGGGCTGCAAAGAGGAGCCCACATTACCACTGTGTTTCGCTGCCTGCCTGCTGCATTGATGAGATGCATAAGCAGCATCCCCAGCGGTTTCTCCCAGGCTCGGGGACGGTGGTGCAGGACTGCAGGGACATGGTTTACATCGCAGGGAGGGCTGCTAAGTCATTCTTTGGAGTGGGCACAGTCTGTGTGGTCCCCGCTCTCCCTTCTGCTGGAAAAGTACAGTGCGTTCACCGGGCGTGCAGGAACCGATATTACCCGGCACAAACCCGCGTGCATCCCAATGAGGGGGGAGGGGCTGACGGCCACACCGCTCTGTAAATACTTCTTTATTAAGACATAAATATAAAGCTGAACAGGAAAGGAGCAATGACAGGGTAAACTGTGCCAGTACTGATCTGTACGGATGATCTTACGATGCTTTAACATCTGGTTCTGCTGCTGGCTTCCATAAAATCATCTTTAAAACCTACTCGGGTTATATCTCCATCAGCTGTTCGGTGCCCACAATGACTTCATTAACATGTTTGGCTGAAAAGAGAGAAGGAGGAAAAGAAGAGGAATTGAGTTTTGCAGCAGTGCTTCAGACCTTGCATTTTTCAAATCTACAACTTTAAAACAAATGAGAAAAGCAGATTCTGGGGAACTTGAACAAGGATTCGCTGCCTTTCTTTGGACTCCAGCATCTCTCTGATAGTATCCCACACACATGGCAAAAGCCTAAACAACTGACTAAACATCAGGAGGTTTCTCTAACGAGAGTTTTCACATGTATGTGTCACTACTAAACAAGAGAGGCCCAACAGAAGTCACAGCTGCTGCTGACAGGTGTACACCTGGGTGGAGGCAAAGAACCATCGTCATCCAACATGGAGAACTGACATAAAATTAAAGATCAGTGATCCACCCCAGCCCTAAAAAACACCACGTGCTCTCAGACTGCATGGAGGCTGGGGGGGGGCAGAGGGGCTGCACCATGACTGAGGCAGCATGAGATCCTCTCAGCAATCTCAACTCAACCCTGGCAGTTTAAAAAAATAAAGGGCTTGATTGATTGATTGATTGATTGATTGATTTAAAACCTGACTTCTCTCTCCTGGATTGAAATTGGGATGGAGCCTCTCCAAAAGTATCTGTGTGAAGCAAGGTCTCTGAGCACAGCTATCATCTCTGAGGGCAATGGTGGACAGCCCTCCTCAGACTCCTGTGGAGTAATTTGTTGGAGGGGCAATTTCTACAAGATCACTCCTTTGCCTGTTCCCAGGAGCACTGCACAGCCCAAGTGGACACATTAACGTGCCAGTCCCTGCCCCAGCACTGCTAATGCACTGTACTGAAAGAGCCTTCCCTTTAAAATGCAAAGGCAGCTTGTCAGGGAAGGACTGCAAATAAGGAATCTAAAGCCAAAATAATAAAAACACGCAACTGAAAGCCTAATGCCTAAAAAACCCAAACATGCAGCCTCAGACAGTGACACAAAGCCAGTGTGCTCAAAGTGGGTGTCCTCAGGGTACCGTGGGGGAAGGCGGTGAATCTAAATTGCTCTCTGGGACCTGGACACCTATTCAGGTGGAGCTCAGGTGGTTTGACCCATGGCCCTAGGCTCTCCATCTCCCCTTCCACACATCAGGAATAACAATTGGCTCTGGAGCCTAGGATAAAGCACCAAGGCCTGTGAGTTGCTGGGATACACTGATGGAGGCTGTGTTGTCTCCCACACCTTACACAGCAGTGGGGGTGGATGGCCAAGGACTATGGAAATAAGGAGTTTTTTATTTACTCACCTAAAACCCCTCCCCTCAGGGGAGTGGATTTTGCAAGACTGCTGCAAAACAACAAACATGCCACCTTTGGCTAAATGAAGAAATTCCTGGCAATCCTCAAACCGCCTGGGCCAACACAATGCTTCTCTTGGTTTAAAATTGAAGACATTACCTTTGTACCATGCAAACCATTGCTCCAGAAAAGGTTTGATAAAAAACTTCCCTATAAACTTCAAGGAGTTTTGGACTGTGGCAAGGTAATTTCCCACTACAACCCTGACCCCGCAATCATACGGATCCTGCTGTCTCCTCAGCCTGGGGGACAGAGTTGGGCTAGCGATACGATTGCCTTCATGAAGGCAAAAATAAGGAGATCAAGGAGCTGCTTCTCACCTTCAGCATCAGATCAAGTAATTTATTTCTTTGCTCAGGGTATTTAGCAACAACTGATAATTGATCCTGGAGCCTCATGCTAACATCTCGGAGCTCGAAGTTGGAATGTGGAGCCCAATCTCCTGCACTTTGGGCAGGATGAGCAGAAGTGGATGTAGCGCTCAGGAAAATGAGGGACTGACTGTACAAGTGCCAGGTGCAAGTGTGATGTAGGTAGCACCACACAACCTCTCCAGTGCAGCTCTGCCAATAGCCCCAAGTCCAGCCCTCAGCGCTTCTCTCCTCCCGTCCTGGACCCCACACAGCTTTGCCAAAGTACCTCAAATCCAACCTGCAGCACTTCTTGCTATAACATTCCTCTCCCCCAACAACTTTCCCAATATATCTCAAACAGGCCCTGTAGCTACTCCTGTGACTCCATTCCTGAACCTCCTCCAAGCAGACTACCTATCATGTTGATTTCTATGATGTGAATAAGACCCTGGCTACCATCCAGTGAGAGTAATTACGTTATGCCTCTGCAGATTAAACATGCCTTCATCTAGACTTATAAAGAGCCATGTCAATTTATGGTTCTATATATAGGTTATCTGTAGCAATACTTTTTAATAAGGAACTTCTTGCTTCATTTCAGACAGCATCTTGCACTGTCCTAAACGTGCAGAGCTGGGATGGGTCCTGTCACATACTTTGTTGCAGAGGTGGTATCAACTATTTGTATTTTGCACTGACATGCTTGTAGCTGTCTTACAATATCTTGCATCTTACACCTAATGAGTTCAAAATGCTTTTCGAGACTGGGCAAATAAGAGCATTCTCATTTTACAGATAGGGAAACTGAGGCAGTAGTGACTTTAGGGAGTTTAAGTAGCCAAAGCCACATGGGAAACCAGAGCACGCATTCCATCACCTCCCATCCTTCTGCCTCTTTCATCTCCTCCTTGATCCATGTGGCCCGGATTCCCCAAAGTGGGCACACGTGGCCTGCCAGGTATCTCACTGCTACCTCAGAGACTCACATGAAATCACAAAACTCACTTCTCCTTATACAGGCTGAAAGAAAACACATGAACGTGCCTGCCTCAAATCTTTGAGAAAGTTTTTAAGCAATAAAGGGAATGGTTTTGCTAGAAACAAAGCCCGATTCCGCACCCCGAGGGGATGCGATAGGCAGATAAGGATTCACCCTGCTTCCCTCTTCCCTTCCCAAAGCCCTCCTTTTGGAGGGAAGGGAATTCAGACTCCACCATGTGTGCCAGAGAGCCGAGCTGCGGATAGCGTTTCATTATCAGCCGCAGCTGCCAGTTGCCAGTGGCTCTGGCTGGTACCAGCAAGCTCAGTTCATGCAGAAACTCTGCCTGAAACTCTGGGGGAGGAGGGAGAAGTACCTCACATGCTTAGCTGTTCAGCTCCCATCTCCTTCCCTAGCTCCCCATTAGAGATTTCTTACCAAGCTGCCTTTTATCTGACACTGGCAGGGTTACAGATGCATTCAGCCCACAGAGAAAGAAGAGGGATTAGAGAAAGGACTTTCAGAAAGCCTTAAGAGTTGGACTCTGCAACCTTAAATCATGTTCAACTAGATCTTCTCAGATTGGGAGCATCTGGTGCTAAGCAAATCCAGAGCTGATCAACACATTCAACCTCCCGATTAGCACTTTGCTTCAACTTGCTGACGCAGCCCAGCCCGAAGTCAGCCTGGGTGCTTGAACCGAGTGTCCACGGAGATTTTACTGAGTGTAAATCAAAAACTTGTCACTCGTTATATATGCGTTCCTGCTTTGAAAGACATTTGTTTACACATACTGTACACCAGCCCCTTAAAAACATACGCACAGGGCAAGGACAGCTAGAGAGCTGGGGAGCGGCGCAGCTTTTGGTGCTTGGCTAAAACCAAATTGTAATGCAAATAAACAGAGGGGCGGAAATGACTGCGCAGGCCAGCACAAACCCCACCAGCAGGCCGGGGGCCGGGGACCCAGCGCTCCCCAGCCTTCCTGGCAGGTTCCTGCCAAGCTGCTCACAGAAAGGGGATGCCGGAGCATTCCTTTAAAAGCCATGTGAAAGCATCTCCTTGTTGTTTGCTCAATTAGCCCCAGACAGATTGCTGCTGCTGCTGCTGGTGGCAACGCTGGGTTGTAAAGGAGGAGGGGAAGGAGGGGAAAGGGAGGGAAGAAAAAAAAAAAAAAAAAGAGCGAGGAAAAAAAAAGGGTTAGGGCCTAGGCCCAGGACCACCACGAAGTTCCAGCCCTCAGGGGCTCCAGAAAACGTTCAGTTTACTCACTCAATTACATACACTGTTTTATAAACCCTTTAAAATAAAATAGAAAACAGTCCCTGGCACAGAATTACTGCTCTATTATACAGCAGTGATGAAAGCCACTGCTGTGTATTTGCTCTCTTTAAAGCAAGAGATAGTTTAACTTAAAAAACTAGGCGGGGGGGAGGGGTGGCTGCAGAAACGCATGCACGAAAACACGCTGTGGGTGGTTCCTACCACATTCACCCAGGACAGAAAGGATCAGAGAGTGGGAGAGAAGAGCAACTTGTCTCTGCAGTGATGGCTGGCCCTGGAAAAGCAGCCAGGTTGGGGGGGGGAGGAACTAAAGGGGCTTAAGGGGATGGGAAGCAGCTGAATCTTGACTTTGGGAGGCTGGAGGGTGTTTTAAATTACATGTAGAGATAAAGAAGGGAAGCAGGTGATGGGGGCTGATTTGTTTGTGTTTACAGAGCAGTGGGGCTTTCCAGTCAAGGCTTGCTCTCTCTCCAGCCATGCTTTACTTACACGATCACTGGAGATCAGGAGTGACCACGCTGTGGCCCCAAAGGCCAGGAGCATCTCACAGGTTTCTCCCAAGCACCACACCAGCCCTGCTGTGCAGCTGTCAGCTGAGCCCGTGGGTCTCCGGGAGCAATGGTTCCCATGAGCTGGGGGCCCCAGCTGCTCCCAGGGGTGGGATGTGCAACTCACCCCAGAGGCACTGGGAACGGGGCTGGCAGTACCTTCAGGCAGATCAGCTCTGGCTCACAGCTGGGGCCTCCAGTCCACGTAGCAGGCGGGCAGCAGGGATCTCACTCCTGCCTTACACCCACCTCCAGCAACCACCAGTGCACAGTGCTGGTGCTCACCTGGTTATCTGAGGCTTTTCTCATAGTTCAACCAGTATTAACCCCTTCGCCCTCAAACCCATGTCGGGTATAGATGGGTTTTGAGAGTGTGAGCTAAAGGCAACACTGAATTCAGTGCCTGAAGAGAGATCAATTTACTGTGGCTTGGAGCAGATGGACGGGGGGAGTGAAGGAACTGGGAAGAGAGGTGTATGGGAAAGTCATTAATCAGGGTCTTAGGAGAAAGGTTAGTAAAGGGAAAAGGAG